AAGCCTGTTGCTCCTTGTCTCATGAGCTGCTTCCGCAGGTCCTGTTGGCCTAGCAATCTGGTGAAATTGGAGCACCAGCCATGCAAAGAGGTCAGGTATTGCTTGCTAAAGAATCTCATGATGTAAGCATTGCGACTGTTGTGTGTCTGTCTCATCTCTGCATTATTGATTCAGCGTTTTACAAGTGGAATGAAGTGATAACGGAGGGTAGGAATGGCACTGAGTAATATTGTTGTAGTAGACACTCCCCTTCTCCCAACTCCCCATCCTGCAATATTCTGCTCATGCTAGAAGGTCTGACAGTAAAACAGTGGAAAATGGGAGCCCCAGTGTTGGAGATTAGCAGCTATGGCCCTATATGCAGTTTCCATGTCACCAAGGGAAGACTGAGCCTTATTTAGTAACCAATAAGTGGAATATTTTCCACTGCTATGCCCCCAGCTCTGTGTGCTGTGAATCTTTGGGAGTCCAGGTTGAGACACATTAAATACAGTCCCTTTGCTTCATTCCTGGCAAGTTTGCTTCATGGGGAAACAGTGGACCTGATGTTCTATTGTCAGATTATGCTGTACCTGTCTCATTGCTACAAGAGGACTAAATCCATTCCCTGGAGTGAAGCCTCTGACCTCTCTTTGACCTTGGAAGTTTCCAGGCTACAAGAGGAGCTCTAGCAGGTAGAAAGTCTCAATCGGAGACTGTAGTAAAACAGTAGAGTTACTGCAGCGTGTGTGGCTGTTACTGGGGTGTCGTGTCAGGTTGTGGTCCCAGAGATGCTGCAGTGTGTTCTGGGGGCCGGGGAATTGCAGTGTAAGTGGGACTGGCAGGAGGTTGGTATGCAAATCTAAAATAAGGGCAGCCCTTTGGAGCTGAACACGCAGAGTGATGGGGTTGCTGCCAAGTTAGCAAATTGCTCTGAAAGCTTTCCTCGAGCTGTGTGTAGAGCTGTCATGGTGCCCTCTGTTGGCCAGCAGCAATACAAAAACTATTGGTCCCCAGTGAGTTCAGATTTTTCAGTGAACATGTTTCATGTTGGTTGGGAAAGAGAAAACTTTTTATTTGCTTCTCCGATATCACACAGCACTGCCTGCCTTGGAGGAGGGAGGAGGAGAGGAATATTCAAGAAGGAACATTTCCTTAACCAAGAAATCAATCAAGACTGTAACATTTGTATGTCAGGAGGAGCCTGCACTGTGGGCTAGTCCAGTGTTGTTTCAAACTTTTTTTTTTTTCTGGCAACCCAGTTGAAGAAAATTGTTGATGCCCGTGACCCAACAGAGCTGGGGATGAGGGGTTTGGGTTGTGGGAGGAGCTCAGGGCTGGAGCAGAGGTTTGGGTATGGGAGTGAGGTCTGCGGGGTGGGCCGGGAATGAGGGGTTCGGTGTGTGGGAGGGGGCTCTGGGATGGGGCAGGGTGTTGGGGTGCGGGAGGGGGTCAGGGCTCTGGGATGGGGGTGCAGGCTCTGGGGTGGGGCCGGAGATGAGGGGTCTGGGGTGCAGGAGGGGGCTCTGGGTTTGGGGAGGGCTCAGGGCTGGGGCAGGGGACTGGGGCATGAGGTTGGAGTGCGGGCTTACCTCGGGCGGCTCCTGGTCAGTGGCCATGCTAAGGCAGGCTTCCTGCCTGTCCTGGTGCTGCAGACTGTGCTGTGCCTCGGAAGTGGCCAGCAGCAGGTCCGGCTCCTAGGCGGAGGCACGTGGCTCTTGCCCACAGGCACCGCCAATGGGAGTGCCGAGCTGGTGCTCGGGGCAGAGGCAGCGCGTGGAGCCCCATGGCCCCCCCGCCTAGGAGCCGGACCTGCTGCTGGCCACTTCCGGGGCGCAGCCCGGTGTCTGAACAGGTAGGGACTAGCCTGCCTTAGCTGGACAGCACCGCCAACGGGACTTTTAACAGCCTGGTTGGCGGTGCTGACCAGAGCCGCTGCGACCCAGTGCCTTACATTCCGCAACCCAGTACTGGGTCGCGACCCACAGTTTGAAAACCACTGGGCTAGTCTATAAAGGCCTTGGCGGACCAATCCTTAGGGGGCACTTTTCCACTTGATGAAAGTGTCACAGACTGGTACAATTCAGCAGGGTCTGACCACCTGGGCCTCCTTGTCCCTTTTGGGAGTGAGGGTTAGTGTAATGAACTGAACTTTACTCTACTCTTACGTTGACCTCAAAATGGGTTTCTCAGCTCTTCAGATGGTTGCTCCCTATCTTATTTCCCTTCCTGCCTCTCTCCACCCAATGTGCACAGGCCTTGGGGGATCTTGCCCTGGTGTATGTAACTGAACTGCTCTGGAAGCAGTCATACAACTGAAGCACAGTTCGTCACCAGCTTCCCTGATCATATGGCTCAGCAGCTCTGGCTGAGTAACTGTGAGTGATCCCCCTCCAGCCTTTTTTTCTCCCCTCCTCCTTCAGCTTCCTGTTCCTCAGCTGTATAGTGTTTGCTCAAGTCAGGAAGGGGGAGGATGTGGGGGGAAGTTAATCATTAAACTGTCCTGTCTGCCACGTAACTGTTCACAAGCAGGGAGTAGAGTGGTTGTGTTCATATTTCCTTTCTATGTACTGTGGCTCTCTTTTTGTCAGTGGGCAGCTGGGAAGGTTGTGTTTCTTCTTTACACCACCTGCGCTTGCTCTCCACTCTCTCCCTTCCCCTCCTTGTCCACCCTGTCACATGCACAGACACACGGGACCAAGCAGGTGCATCTAGCTAGTTTCGCTTAGTTTTGTGCTGTGTAGCAAGAGGAAATGGAGTACCCTCTGCTCAGCCTCTCCTTTTGAGGGGCAAGTGAGCTGAGAAGGCGGTTTTTTGTGAGGAGCTGAAAGTTGCGTGTCTCTCCCTTAGAGGGAGAAGAGCAGTAGAATGGGAGGGATAGGAAGGTGTGTCCAGAATGCCTTGCACAGGACTTAGTGCTTTTATTTGCTCTGGGTGTGGAGACACTGAAGGCTTGAGTTTGTGTGGTTTTTTTTGCTTCCTGGTGGAGTCTGATTTGCTTTAGTCATTGGTCCGGAGGAGTGCATGGAGGCGAGAACCGCACCTTCCCTGATAGATTGTGCAGGAAACTGTACACAGCACCACAGAGTCCTTGGACCTGCACAGTCAGAGCGGCGGCAGTACTTTCTCGGCTCCTCTGAGGTATGTGTCTGTATAGCTCTGGAATCCACCCGCTGTTCTGTTGCTTAAAAAAGGTTGGACTGACTTTTCCCCAGCTGTGAAAAGCCCTTGGGGAATCTGTTCCTGGGATATTTTGGCCACCATAAGATGACGACTGTGGTTTAAATGACATGGAGTATCTTTTGGTGAGACTAAAGTCATGGCTTTAATTTAACATACCTCCTCTGCTGGGGCCCTCTATTCTGCCCTGCCATAGGGATGGGCTCTGATTTAAGAGGTCTTTCTCCATGGTAACACCTTGGCCCATGGAGGAAGATGCCCTTGGGAGAACAGGAAAGCCTCTCCTTCCTTCCTTTGTGTAGTGTAACAACTTCTGTCGCCCATTTGACCGTTGAATACAGTTTGGGTTATTGAATATGTTGGTCTTGTATGAGCTGCCCAGCTTGCGAAGGGGTTTTGAGGAGACAGCCAGTAGGCTGCCATCAGAGACTGTGTGATGCCAGCTGGGGCTTGGGAACTGTGCTGTGCTTTGGAAAGCCCAGATGTCTGTGATGCCTAGCAATAGGAGAGATTTTTCCCTCTGAGTTCTGAAGGAGCTGAAGCTAGCTGTAGCACACAGAGAGGAAAATGGCTGAGAGATCCCTTGAAGGCTGTTAGTCTGCAGTTTTGGTGAAGGGGACGGAGATCCAGAGCAGTTAAAGGGGCTTCTGGAGAAGCAGCTTAATCTCCTAGTCCTACATAAACTGCATTACTTTACTGGACTCTGGCAGCATTCTGTGTCTCTGAACTGTCCTGCCTGGTACATCTTGATGCTCTGGTAATGGAGAATGCCTGTGTCCCTTGTGGACCAGCTCCTCTCTTCTCTACTAGCCTTAAGTAGGTGTGCGTTGGAGTCTGTTGCTCCTCTGTAAGGCTGGGCACCCAGCCAGTGAGGCTTTCTTTAGAAAGCAAGTACAGTACAGACCTGCAATGCTTCACTGGAGTTTCCAAGGTGCCTTAGGGTGGGATCACAGGCCCAGCAAGCTGGGATTTGTCTGTGAGTCACTGCAAAGGGTGCTTGCGGTGCTTGGACTGGGCAAGGAGCAAAGTTTGCGGGAAGAAAGCCAAAATGGTGGGGACCCTTTTTCTTGCCCCGTCTCAGAGGTTGAAGTGACTATTCTGATTCCAGAGAGGGTCTTACCCGTTATGTGTTTCCCTCTGCCTGACGTGCTAGTGTGTACGTTTTTAGCTTTATGGAGGTTTTTTCTTCCCTTCAGAAATGTATAAGCAGTCTCCACCCAGCAAGTTAAGAACTGTTTCCAGGCGATATTGCATTTACCTGGCAGGCACCATCCAGTTAACCGTTTGTGTGGCTTGCTGTGTGCTGAGGAGGAATCTTGTTCCTCTGGGAGGCAAATGCTAGCTTGCTGCACTGATAAACCGATTGAAACTTTTTGAAAACTGATTGAAAAAGTCTCTTTTGTGCCGGTTCAGGCTCCTTTGATTCCAGAGAAAATCTTTTCCGGGGAACTCGTTTCCTGGAGAAAGTGGCACTCACGGCCATGTTTTAATGATATGGGGCTTGTCATTAGTCTGTCAATATCTGACATAGATCTGTCCGAGTTCTTCTACTGCAAAGCACAATGAAACCAAAAGCTCCTTGCTGCTGGGCTGTTCCCCAGTTTAGCACAAAATCCCAGACTGGGATTTCTTCCGGCTACTTTGGTGCCTCTTGAAGTTTCCTTTTATAACAGAGGTTTTACTGACCCACTTTCCCGGTCCAGTACAGTTTTGCAGGATGTGCAGTAGATAGATCATCCATAGGGGCTGTAAATGTGACACCATCTGAATGAGGGGAAGAGGAATAAACTGGTGGTCTGCCTAGCCAAGACAAAAAGACCTTTCGTGTTTTTTCTCTGCAGATGCTTTGCTAGCGGACCTGGAGTCTACCACCTCTCACATCTCCAAACGGCCAGTGTTCTTGTCGGAGGAAACACCCTATTCCTATCCAACTGGAAACCATACATACCAGGAGATCCCAGTGCCCCCACCTGTGCCACCCCCTCCTTCCAGCGAAGCCCTGAATGGGACTGTGATTGACCCTTTAGACCAGTGGCAACCCAGTGTCTCCCGATACATCCACCAGCAAGTAAGTGTGCGATGCTAGGGGGAAGCGAAGGGGTCTGTGCATGTCTTCTGATCTGATGTGGAGCGTATCTAGGGTGCAGGAGATGAGGTGAGGGCGGGAGAGGATTGTGGGGAGTAAGGAGGAGTTTGGGTAATCAGTAGGCTGGCATGTGGTGAGGAAATGGGGGAAGTTTCCCAACAAGATGGAGTGATTGGGGGAAGGGAGAGTCTAGGCACCCACTTCTGTCTGGTTTAGTGATAAAATACCAGTTGAAGACCCATCATCAATGTTCCAGTGAAAACCACAGTACAAAAGACTAGTATTAATCATCCACCTTGCAGCCTATAGAAAGGAGACTGGGAAGTTTCCAACTCAGAGGCAAAATTCGTAGGTGAGCTAGAGGGAGCGTGAGACATGTTGCTGGGCTAGCTTGTGCAATAGGGGTTGAGGCTGATCTGCAGCTGTTTGTTGTCAAGATTTGACGTGTTAACTTCACTGAAGTGTACGCATTTGTTCAATGTTCTCAGTCACCAATACAAATCTCATTTCCTCAGTCCCAGTCTCCTGTGTACAGCTCCAGTGCCAAAAGTTCCAGTGCCTCCGTTCCCCGAGAGAGTGTCTGCTCTTCTTCCTCACGTGCCAGTGAAGAGGAGCACGTCTACAGGTATCCTGCCCCTCCTAGGGAGATGAGAAGCCTGAATTGTGGTCGGGGTGCTGTGGGCAGTAAGCGCTATGACTCTGCTTCCAGTTAAAGGAGGCGGGATAGATACTGACCCCACCCACCCTGTTTCGGTTTTACTGCTCAGGGCTCTCTAGAGTTCTGAGAACTCCTTTTTCATGGAGGTCATTGTTAATTTAGCCTTGTGGAAATGACTGAGAGATGGGAAAGCTGGTTTAATCCCTCCATAGGCCGGGTAGGAGGCAACATGATCCAGGGAATAGGGCAGCAGAGAATCAGAAAAAAATGGCTTTTGTTTCAAACTCTACCTGTGACTTGCTGTCTGATCTTGGATAAATCACTTAACCTTCTGTGTTTGTTTTCCCAATTGTACAGTAACTCCTCACTTAATGTTGTAGTTATGTTCCTGAAAAATGCGACTTTATG